CCCCCCAGCGCGTAAATGACGTGCCGCTGACCGGCACTCTTCTGCGGTTACCGGTAATCGTCAATCCTCTTTTACTAAGCGGCTTCTGCTGCTTCAGGCAGTCTCCCTGTTATCATCGATCCGGATCTCCGACACTCTGATTCCAGCAGAGCCCGCTGGGGACGAATACCTGAGCAGCGATTCCGGGAGCAGGACCGACTCACTGCTGTTGCCACACGGACAGACGGCATTTTAAAGTGACACAGTGCCCGACTAGATAGTTTACATACATATATAATGAGGAATGGCCATAATCGGTAATCAATCCTTTGAAGCTTGGAGTCGCGGAAACAAAATATACCAACCTGCATTTGAATTAAAAAGATTACAAAAAAAAACTGGGCATAAGTGATCAAAAGCGGATCAGAGCCCGCACAAATACACGTTAGGTGAGCATTGCGGAACCGTGAGCATAACATGATAGTTAGACACCTCATAACATAATAGCTAGACACCTCGCCCGGGCTTGGGAGCCTGTGAATACTGTGACACAAGTGCCTTGACCTTCTCAGTAGGTATGCGAAACAAGTGCTGTAGTTTGCTGGGAATATATGTATTATCGGCGACTTCAGCTGATATTGTATCTTATACCTAACAGGATTCGTAGTGGCCTCCACGTGCTGGGCTCGACGCTGTCAGAACGGTACCGGATGGTGGATTATTGTGGTATCTGAGAACTAAGTTGCTTGACCTAGCCAGGCGAGGTTTCTGATGACTGATAAGATGTTCATTCATTTTCCGTTTAACTGCGAGTTGCACACGCTTGCAGACTGTCTAGAAAGTTGTGAAAAGCACATCCACCGACGTGGTGTAAATTGAATGTAGGTAGAAGATAAAATGTTAGTATCCAGTTTGTATGCGATAATTCACTTGTATCGTACGAAAGTGCGATCAACAAGAATATGACAGAACGTGCCACTTATTATCAGCCAGTGTATTTCACATTTCCAGCAAAAACTCGCGTTTTTACATTAATTAACCGACCTATGTTTGCCATGTCAACCATCACTGGAGACAAAAATTGCGACAAAGAAATGTTACGAGCGACGTATTCTGCTTGGAGCAGCTTCTGTTTGGTTGTAATATTTCTCAAAGAAGCATTGAGACGAAGGGGCCTTTAATGTTGCAATGCGCGCTTGCTATGCAAATGATTGCCGACGCATTACGAATAAGAATGACTTCAGTGACATGCGAGTCTCGTCCTGAGTCCTCATTTCACCGAGTACGCGTTCTCGGTCACTAAGCAGCAGCAATGCACAAACCCCCTGACTTTGTCCCAATCCGGTTGCATGTTGCACCTGTCCGCTGGCACGGCTATCAGTCAACAGATATTCATGCTGTCTGCCTGACGGGCATACAAACCTGTTTGTCATTTGAATTACGCTGCAATCACGAGTCATATACAGTCGTGTTCGCTGGCTTAAATCTCTCTTTCGTCACGCATTGCAGCATTCGTGTCGATTCTTTTATTTAGAATATACTTATTGCTTCGATTAAATAAATCGCTGATCAGTTTAGAGTTCGAGGTCGAGTAACGACGAGAGGTAACAAAAAATCGTTCATAAATTCAACTATTGCTTGTAAATAGTTAAAAACATGAAATATATGCTTTATAATATCGCTGGATTGGAAGCGCCCGGTATCTTCAAGTTCCCGAGTTTACCAGTCGCGGCTATTCCGACAAATCTGTACATTGTACCAGTGACCTGGCATTGATTTCAGTGACCTGTCACTTACCAGTGACCTGCCTCCGGTCAGCACTGACCTGCCGTCTGTCGGTAGCCTGGCGCCTCCCTAAACTACGGCCCTGGATCGAGAACGGCCTCTAAAGGTTGTCTCTTTCCTATAAGAGGTGCATGTAACTCATATCCTGCCGTGGTGTATATGGTTTTCGGAGTCGGAACAGATGACGGTATGGGATGGACTGGAGTATGACCAAGACGGATGCGGATGGCACCGAAGGACGATGCTGTGAGATACTGTCGGGGTATTTGGCACTCCCACATATCGTGCACAACAGCATCACTGAAAGGCTATCGCACCTATACAAACCCTCCAAATGCGGTAGCTAAGACTAATACAGTGCTCTCAGTGTCAGGTGAAAATCTCATGTCCAAGGACATGAAACGGGATCCTGCTTTCTCTGCCAGGCATTAGCTTCACTAAACCATAAACAACTCCTCTCCTCTCCTCTCCTCTCCTCTCCTCTCCTCTCCTCTCCTCTCCTCTCCTCTCCTCTCCTCTCCTCTCCTCTCCTCTACTCTCCTCTCCTCTCCTCTCCTCTCCTCTCCTCTCCTCTCCTCTACTCTCCTCTCCACTTCTCTCCTCTCCTCTGTTCTCTCCCTTATCTCTCCTTTTCCCTATCTCTTCTCTCTCTCTCTCTCTCTCTCTCTCTCTCTCTCTCTCTCTCTCTCTCTCTCTCTCTCTCTCTCTCTCTCTCTCTCTCTCTCTCTTTCTCTCTCTCTCTCTCTCTCTCGCTCTCTCTCCCTCTCTCTCTCCCTCTCTCTCTCTCTCTCTCTCTCTCTCTCTCTCTCTCTCTCTCTCTCTCTCTCTCTCTCTCTCTCTCTCTCGGTGGTCCGTCGCTCTCACTCGGTCACCCATCTGACGGTGGTCGCCGGCGGGACAGCCTTTATCAGGCCGACTCCCCAGCGCCGGGCCATTCAGCCCCGTCGTCCCGTCATTGCTCTGTGCCGCCGGCGCCGACAGACGCCCTCATCGCGGCCACTGTGACGCATATCCGCAGTCATAATACTGTCCCACGGGGCGGCGGCCGCCCGCCGCGCTGCGCTGGGGGCAGCGCCGCAGCACGGCTGGCCCGCCGCCACCGCGCCGCCGCCGGTAACAGCGCACCGGCTGCCGTCCACTGTGTACTGTCCACCCAACGTCCACAGTGTACTGTCCACCCACCGTCCACTGGCCCCTGTCCACCTTTCCCGTCCACAGTCCGCCGTCTACTGTCCACTGACCAATGGCTAAAGTCCGCAGTCTCTCGGCCACCGTAAGCAGTCCGGCTGCCCTCTAGCAAAATAAGGCCAAGTGGTGGCCACATAAATCGTCCTCGTTAATGAGTTGAGTTACAATAAAATATTTGCTTCACACAACATCAACATGATAAAAAAAAAAACAGTTGCACCCCAGTAGTTGAATAGAAAATGAATGTGAAAACTAATATAAAAGCGAATAAACGTTGATTTTTCAACAGGCTAGCGGAAAATGTGACATAGAGGGAGTAAAAGGTCGCTCTGAAGTGAAATGGGACGAACAAAAGAGGCTCGGTCGCTAGCTAAGGCGTTCCGCGGAGATGAGTTTTAGCCACCAGGGGAAGAGCCCCATAGCGACTCCAGGCGTCAGCCAATGGGTGCCTGTTGCTCGTTATAGGCTCCCCATAAAACCAGGCCCTGGCGATCGTCGCGGCGAAACTAGGCCGCGCTCGATCGGAACCGGTCCGAGCCGCTGCACAAAGTCATTGCTTAATTAAGTGATGCTTATCGGGATTTCTTCCCAGTGTTATGCCACACACTGTATGACAGGTTGCTGTGATCAAGGTTGTAGTGAGATGATTTACCAGTGATTGTATGTACAAATATGGCGGCAGTGTTAGAGTTGCCGCTTCAAAAGTGTAGGAGTGTGTGGCAGACTGGCAGTGTGTGTTTCCCTGGGGACAAATGCGACAAAATGCTGCGAATAATGGATCTGTTTTTCGTCACAGTATAATTTCAGTAATGGCACACTTACTCCGGCCACCAATCACTCCCGAGCGCCAGACGGCGAGATACTTTTGTTTTCTTTGGCGGATCGCCGGCAAGTTTTCTGAACTAAAACAAGAAAAACAAATTGGGTGCGGTCATAATTTCGCGCGCGCCGGCAGCTGGGTGGTAATCGCCTCTCTAACGGGGCCGACCTTCCTCCCTGACGTGCCGGTGGCCATTTTGCGACCGGCACCGTCGCATCACAGCCGCGAAAATGGCCGGAAAATCGGGGTGGTGGGTTAAAGAAACGACGCTCTCTCCAAGCTACGATTTGAGATAAAAACAGTGAGGGTGTTAGCTAAAACCGGAAGCGTTGTAAACCACGCATGGAAGTTGGAACTCATATGACAGAAGCCGTCATGTGATGGCACTGACAATGGACGATGATCATTACGCCTCAATTTGGTTTAATTCATGGCTTACAAAATATACCTTCTTAAGTCAGATGAGCTGCTAAATACGTTCAATACCTACCTCGTTTGTATCCTTGAATTCTGCTTATTTAGATCCGACAACAAAAATATGCATGTTTACATGGATGAATCAATTTCGATATAGTCCAGTGGAATGTTTACTCATAAGTCATATCAAAAGAAGACGTTCCTGGGTAATACCAGATAGTCTTTCATCCAACGAGCTTTCTGCATATTAGGTGGTCATGTAAGCCATTAGCGGTTCACAACCATTGCTTTGTAAGCTCTGGACGGTTTGGCAGCAATTAGATATGCCAGGAAGGTACAGGTAGCTGCTATTTTGTATTACATGCTGGGAATCCTATGTCTAGGGATCCTACAAAATGCCAAGTATGCTATGCAGCTCAATTAGATATGTTGAATACGTTCCCAAAGATTTGTGTCTATGTATGCCTAACTTTCGTGCTCCACATCGTAACAGAGTTTTAAGCTTTGTTTGGCAAACAATCAAACAGAAGACTCCACCCAAAAGGCACTTCAGTACCAGTAAACAACCATTCAATCTAGCATGAAAGATTCCTGGAACTCCGATGAATTGCAAACGCCGAGTTATGAGATTTATGATGTTTTGGTGATGTCGTAAAATCAATGCACATGTTCCCTTCTTAAGACAACATTTTTGGTTCATAACCAGCCTCCTAATCAGCTAATCAAGCCGTAAAGCCGCGTGTGCCGGCTGTGTAGGGTGTGCAGTTCACGGCGGGCGGTTCCGGTCGTCGCGCGGCGGTCCGGTACTCACAGCTCGGTGATGTTAGCAGTCAGCCGCAGGTCGGAGCAGACGACCGCGTCCGATCCACAGCGGCACATGGAGGGGCAGCCGGCGGACACGGCCGCTGGGCCCATCACCGTCAGCAGCAGCACCGCCAGCAGCCGCCGGGTGCCGGGCCGCGCGGACATCTCACCGCGGTCCATCTCACCGCGGTCCATCTCACCGCGGGCGTCTCACCGCTCTCTCACAGGACACATCTCACAGACACTGTCACCTGAGCCGCGCCGCCGCCCGGAGACGCATCACCTGCCGGAGACAGGAGGTAGGAGAGCTGAAGGCACTGGGTGTCTGGGTGACTGTCATTGAAAGCATTGAATGCCTGAATGGTGTTTTGACATTTTAACAGCATCATTACAAGCGTTTTTAGAGAACCAGCTTATACTGCACAATCAGATGAGAGCTGGTTAGAGACGTTTTGATCTTGTTAAAAGTTTCAAAAAGGCGCTGGCTTAGCAGATAATTCCGACTTCGCAATCGCTACAAGGTTTGATCATGTCTCTTTGCACCCTTTGAAGCATTCCATTCGACACAAGTACCTATGCTATGTTTATTCCAATTAATCAAAGCACAAAAGGTTCAGATGATCCAATAAATGCTGAAACCTAGCTGACTCCAAAAATCCACGAGACGGAGGCCAACTGTCGGATGCGATCATGCGAAGAGCTTATCAATAAGAGTGTGATAAGTGTACCATTTTACTTATAGTAGACAATAGTGTATATGAAATCATTATATCCTTCCTTTTGTTTTGGTACTCAAATTTTCCACTAGCGCTGTCGATGTCCAGAGTAGTGCATATGGCAAGAGAGATACACCACCGAACAGGGCAGGGAAATCGATACCATCACAATCCTCACGTTCTGTATTGAGGATTTCAGAAAACGGTTCGCCGCTCGTCGAAACGACTGCTATTTTCATTTCAATTCGAATCACGTATGATCGTAACAGACACCACTGAACATTGAACGAGCGAACGACATTGAAAGAGGGATAAAACCGGAATGGGCTGGCTTATGGATGCGACTGCATGGATTCCAGCAAGTCAGAACGTTCCGATATTTGCATGCCAGTCGTTGTCGTATGGCATACCATGGCTCCTCATAGAACTTTTGGCCACTAGTTTCTTCGACCCAGTTTCTTCTAGGATGGCATCAAGTCGGCAATAAAATAGGGCACCAGCCAATGGTCTGCCGGAAGTAACATGAATCCAGAACTTCCATGGCCGATATAATTTGGATGTGTTGGCTGTAAACGTCGGGTCTGTATATACGGATATTTACAGAAAACGTTACAATATTTGTAATAACTGTACAGTACTGAGATATTTCAAACGGCTGACGCGACCGATAGCTGGGTAAATAGTCGTGTCCGCATCCATTCTTTCGAATGAAATAGCCCGTATCAAATAGCCCGTTGTCTCTAACCATTTACCACCCATTGAATCGGCGGCGCCTTTGCCGTTAAGCGGCGGCGTTCAGCGGCTCTATATAAACACCAAATGATTCCGTCGCCTGTCCGGTGGACTCTCTCATGACCGGCCGTCGGCCCTGGCCAAATATACAGACATAGTGCTAACAGCACCTTGAGCCGCCTTTTAACAGAGCCCGCTGCGATCGCAGCCAAACACACCGACAAGACAGTGTAAGCAAACCTCCGACACAGGCATCTCACCGCCGCTCAAGTGGTCTCATTAGCGCTCACCTTTCACATGTCCCGCGCGGTGCTTCTGGACGCGACTGATCCTCTCACTCTCTCTGACAGTCAGAGCAGTCTCAGTCTCTGACTGGACAGGATCAGTCACTTCCTCTCACAGTCTGCCACTCACTGGAGCAGTGTCTCGCCGCTCGTCTCTCTCCGCTCTGACTCTGACAAGGTCACCTGTCCCGTCCTCTCTTTCGACTGTCCCAGTTTCACTCGCAGGCCGACCGCGGTCCGACACGTCCCGTACCGAACCGACGCCGACCGCGCGGCGACTGACGCCCGCTCGTCGAATGCGCCGCGACCAAGTCGACGCTGTCTGTGACGTCACGGGTCAGAGAGCGTCGGCGCCGGCGGTCGCGTCGACGGCGACGGCGGGACCGAGACGCCCCCGGGAGTGGGAAGCCGCGTGCGCCGCTACACTCTCGACAGGCAGTCTGGTGAGCGGGCTCGGCGCGGTGTTTGATTGACAGGGTCAGCGCAGCAGAGGTCAGCGTAGCACGGGTGTACGCATAAAGTGCGCAGCCTGCGCCCAGCTCGACACCCAGCTCGACAAGCGACACCCAGCGATACAGGTGACCAGCAAACGGCGACCAGCGGCCAGCGAGGAACGGTCAGAGGCTATTCAGTGATCGGATGCGCGCCTGCACCCCGCCCGTGCCGAGCCGGTGCCAATAGCGCCCAATAACTGACGGCGCGTGCCGGACGCCCGTGTCATCGTCGTGCCGTTTTTAGACCGTTGTTTTTCCAAGATCGGAAAAAGAGTCCAAAAAAGACAGGCGAAAAAGAGCAAACAAGTGAGTAAAAATGAGGATGAATGAGCAATCTCCAGGAATAGCTCGCTACTTCCCGGCACCTGAAAAGCGACCGCTGAGTGGCGAATAAGCCGAGAGGCGTTCTTACGCCATGGTGGACAAATATGGAGCGTAATTGCTGCGGCAGGGATCGCGCGGCAGCTTCAATGGCGGCGCACGGTCCGTTACGACATCTGGACATGTCCGCCGTCGCCGGTACAGTCAGCGATCAGACGAGCGGCGGACAAGGAGAGTCCGAGCGACGGATCGACTAGAGTCCGAGTGGCGGATCGGCAGAGTCCGAGCGAAGAGCGGAGAGTCAGTCCGGTGAGTCGGGCGGTGGGCGGAGAGTCGATCCGCAGAGTCCGACCGTATGCTCGGCCCAAAGACTTGGCCCTCAGATCGTCCCTAAGAGACGGCCCTCAGAGTCGGTCCGGGTGACTCGGCCCGGAGAGATGGACAGACGGCACCAGGTGACCCAGGGTGACAAAAACGAGCCGTACCGCCTCGCTGGTCGCTGTTGCCTACCGTCTGAGCCGGCGCCCTGACCTCGTGGCCAGTCGCTCGCGCGCGCCAGTCGGCCACCGGGGCCGGCACGCGCGTTTTTAGCCGGCGCCGGCGCATTGCCATGCTGGGGGACGGCGGGTGGCCGCAGGTCGGAGGAGCGCCCGGCCGGCCGGCCCGCTCCGCCCCAGGGCCGATCCCTGACGTGGCCCCGTTTTTGTGCGTGGCCACAGAAGTGTTTTCCAAGCGGGTTTCTTGCGACACGCGAGCGACGCGCGCCAGTTACTTCTTAGGAGGCGCTTTGGTGGCCCTCTGTATCAGTGCCAGGCCCCGCCGCCAATCGGGGACAGCAGGCATGCTCATAAGAACGAGTAACTACGACGAAAGGACTTAACGAGTATGACAGGCACGGATGAAGCCTTTAGTTTCATGATCTTTTGCGGAATATGAGAGAAACCCAATTTTATAGGTATTGCTGATAATTCCTTCGCATCGCGCATTATTCACCGTCATTTCGGATTATCAGCTTTTACGAATGCAGAGCATGCCTACATTTTACGAATGCAGAAAGAGGTTCTCTGCGTTTAAGTGTGGCGATTCTGAATGACTGACGATTTGCCTTTTAAATTCTAGCTACATATGTTCCTTTCATGATTGTGAGCGATTAATAAAGAGAAGGAATTTCTGGAAAGAATTCATGTCTTCATGACAGAAATGACGTGCGACATTTGCTATGCATTAACTTCATAAGATAATTCGCATTCAGATTAAGTACGCTCTTCAGTTATGTAAATGACATGGGGTTCACCCGAGACGTTTGCAGCTCTTCGATCTTAAGCCCTAATAATAACCCTCGGCTGCCCTTCAATCACGACTGATGTTCAGCGCAGTAGACCGACATTTGTTTTTTGCGTCGCATTTGTTTAGGACCGCCGGCTTATTTTCATTCCTTCAACATACGGCCATCTCTATCTTCCCTCCCATCAGCATCTTCTATATCTTTCTATCTCTCCCCTCCCCTCTCTCTCTCTCTCTCCCTCTCTCTCTCTCTCTCTCTCTCTCTCTCTCTCTCTCTCTCTCTCTCTCTCTCTCTCTCTCTCTCTCTCTCCCTCTCTCGTCCACAATCGATCATGAGATTCCACTTTCACCCCCGCCTACGAGCCGGCCGGCCGGCGGGCCCGCCTGGACCACCTCCTGCCGCCCAGCTCCGGAGTGCTCCGAGTGCGGGCGAGGCCATTACGCCACCTTCGTCACCTTCTCGCCGCGTTCGCCACGTGCGTGGTATCGCGGCCACGCCATTTGAGGAGCTCTCCGGTCGTTACAGGCCAGTCATCTGATTGGCTTCTCTCTCCATTCAGAAGCGCCCGGCGTCGTCCCGCCCAAACGGATCACAGTTCTGCCCTGATGAGTGCACTGGCGCTCCCAGCCCAGCCGGCTGACGCGGCGCTGCCTGACCTTGACCCAGTGGATTCGTGTCGACCCTGCCCATGACCCCTGCGCCGCAGACTGATGCCACTTGTGCTTCTCGCGACATTCTGTGGCTGAGCTGAGCTGTCTAGCGGGCCCCGGTGTGGGAGGGAGACACCCTGCACCGGCGCTCTGCCCGGCGCTGCTCGGCTCGTTCCCGGTGCTCGTCATCCGCCGTTCTGCTGGCTCCGAGCACCCCCGGTGTGTGACCTACATCATGAACGGATCGCCGCCGCAGACGAGGACGTGCCACCGCGACTGCGGCCGGCCACGGTAGAGCGACATCAGACTGTGTCAGACTGGGCCAGACTGCATCAGACTGATGAATGGCTCAACCCGGACCCACCCGATGAGCTGATCATTTCCAGCTGCATGTCTGCGACCCATTAATGACAGAACAAAAATCGCTGTCGCGGTTGGCGGCCGGCACCAACAATGTTTCCAGAGAAAGGATTAGTTCGGTTTGTGGTGCCTGTGTGTCATTGTATCCTGTCCCTGTGGCTTCCCTGGGATTGTATCTGACTGCTGACGAGTATCACGGCAGTTGCAGCAAGTAATTGTGGTCGAAGAGTGCAGAGTTTCATCGATGAATGACTTGGGCTTAAATATGCGCACACCAATAGGCAATCGTATGCAAAGTTATTACAATGGCTTAGCCGTAAATCAGTCGTTTTGCGATGAGATCAGGGCATGTCGTTATTCACTGACAGGCGTTTAAACAGTGCCCACAGCAGCTCATCATATCGGACAATGTATAAACACCCGAGTACTTCGCCTCGAACGGCGGATCAATAAACAAACACGGCCGCCGAAACGCTATCTGGCGGCGGCTACTTACATTCAGAGGCGAGTCCGTGTCCGATACCGCCGGCCACTCCTCGGCACGCGCTACCCACGGGCGCCGTCACGCCGCCGCCGCACGTGCGCGCGTCACAGATGTCACGGCCACCGTCACAGCCGTCACAGATGCCGGCACCGTCACTCACTCACTCCCGACACCCACGTCTCGTCACGTCACGTCACTCGCCTGCCGTCTCGGAGCGGCGCGCTGGCCGGCTCGCTCGCGGCTGTCTCGCCGGCACACTGCTTCCCGCACCTTGGCGCGGAGCGAGAGTGGCGGCGCCGGCCGCGCGCCTAGCTCGGCGGGTCACCACCAGGAGCGCTGAGGTCAGGGGCGGCGCGGCGGCAGCCTTCACGGGCCCACGGCCGACCGGCCGCGCCGCACCGCGCCGCGCCGGGCGCTCTCATGGGGCGGGGCGGCCGCCGCCCGCCGCCAGGCCTGAGCGGAATACGTTATTGGACAGTGTAAGCGGCACGTGGCGAGCACCGATCAGGACCACTCGAGGACTTGTCCGGTCCGTTGGGGGTCCGACCGCCGCGATGAGGGACGGTTTTGGAAGGGGACAGTGGTCTTTGGTCCACAGCTGTGCCGACAATGTCTTACCCGTGTTATGAGAGGCATCAGCACTCATCTGAACAGGACAGGGTGACATGAAGGTGCACTCCGTGATGAATGCATCAGCGGGAGACGAGCACGTCGACTTGATGGCATGTTGTGCTGTATTGGTTAAAATGAACGCGTTTGAGAGTCACTCATAAATATCAGGTTATATATTTGGAATATGTACCGACTGTTAAAGCCTTCTATAGGATTCACACCCTGGTCTGATGTTACAGACACGTGATCAACAGCATCTTAACATCAAATTTCTCGACATTTTGGCCTTTTATGTGGCTACTGGGCACTGGCTATATCTTCAGACAGCTTATCACAAAGGCGCCGTGTCGATATCCAGCCATCACTGTTTGGTGACCAACCAGCCCGCCCAGGCCGGCGGGTGGCCCTCCCAGATCCTAGCTTACCCAATCCACCCTGGTGCGCGGCGGCCGCGGCTGATTTGGCGTTCATCAGGCGCTGTCATTGCCTACCCCTGTCCCGCCCCAGCGGCGCTATATTTGCCCGGCATCGGCGAATCCATTTGAGGCACAGAGCCGTGGCGCAAATATGCTGGCCGAGCTCCGCAAATACCTCGCCGAGGCGGCGGCTGTAGCCAGTGACATGGCCAGCGTGCCCCGACCGGAATGGGGCGGATGGAGCGGTGGGAGAACTGTAGGAGCAGTAGGTGGTTGAAAGGTTGAGTAAGGGATTGCTGGAGGCAGAACGCAGTTAAGCGGAAGACGGGGAACGGGATCAAAAGTGGCCGAAGGCGGTATGACTCAGTAAACTGTGGATTGCCTTAGACCGACAAAATTCCTAAGCTCAGTCCGTCGCAGTCGCCGCTTCTTCTGCATCTCGGGTCAGTCCGTCGCAGTTACCCCACTGCAGCCCAGCTCAGTCGCAGCCTTTACCGCTCACAGTTCAGCGGGCAGGCTAATCGCGGCTCTGGCTCGGCAGTAACGGCCTCTCAGCCGCAGCTGACGCCGGCGCCTCCCTGCATATACCGCCGCCGCCGCCGCCGCCGCCCATGGCCGCAGACTCTCGCCGCCAGCGGCAAAACAGCGCCACCAATGTCTCATAAACTGCAGCGATTACCAGATATAAGCGTTTGCTAGTGCTATGACTGTAGGCGAGACACATATGTTGCATGATAATGGTATGTGAACCACTTAACATTTGCTTTTTATTTATGGTGAGTTTGCTATTTTTGAAATCGTTCATGCTTTGAATTCGTTGAAGTGCAAGTTCAATTATTTTTGCATGGATACCTTTACACATAATTACGAACGATATTTGTTTGTATACGATGTAAGATCAATTGTGGTTTCAGGCATAAATTGTCGCAATTACATTACAAATTATCCTGTATTTTTAACCGACGGGAAGGTATGGCGAGACAGTGCCTTCAGCCCAGATGCATGTCTCTTGAAAATAACTTTTTTTTTTCTTTCAATACAGTAGCCCATTTATAAACAAGGTCCAATAGGTATATATCTACCACAACCAATCTCCGATCTTCGGAGATAAAGTGCATTTTAAGTCAAATATTCAGCTGCAGAGAGCTGGCCTGACAAGTGGAAGTTAGCATCTAACCGGCCGAGATTTGATCGCACGTCTGTCGTCGCGGTCCATTTATCAGTGAAAATGGTGCTAGCTGTTCCCGAGACGGATGAATCGTCCTTCTGATGGAGACCGTGTAATCAGCCGTCATCCCGGCCTCTCCCTCATCTCCTCCCACCGGGGGTGACCTTGGTGACGTCATAACTGCGTCACAGTGTGACCCGAGTGTGACCTGGGCTGGGAGCTGTAAGGTTCAGAACACAGGTGTGTTACAGACATACGGCACTTTTTACAAGTCGCTTCCATGAGTCCCGGATGTTGGTGGTCAGCGGAACCGTTTGCATGAGACTTCTGTCCCTTGTCACTGAGCGAGGCTGTCTTCAATGGCCTTTGTTCCACTCACCTGTATGGAAATGGGAAATAGCAATCGGTGATATTCCAAAAAAAATGGACCGGTAAACGCTGTTCCCAGTCGACTTAAATACGCTGCTCGGCGCCTATTGTTTGTCGTACCGACTGACCGGACAGATAAGGTCAGCAGACACGGCCATTTACAGATCATTCAAATGGTAAATAAAGCGGCACACAGTCTGCTCAGGGTGGAACCGTGACTAATATGTAAGCCAAGGACGCCAAACAGACGGTACAGCGCCTCGTGTGTCCCGTGAATCCAGCTTCCGGTGCCTGGATCACAGTGTAAGGGCTGCTGTTTTATGTTGTGTGTCTTATGAAACATGAAAGAAGAAAGACAGCTACGAAGGATGTCATGTACGACAGGGGTGATCTGTTTCAAATCAGCCGATCAGGTCTTTAACAGGATGTCTGTAGATTATCGTAAATAAAAATGGTATCAGCATTTTTTAACAATAATATTTTTAACAATTAAAACGCAAAATCATTAACATTGAATAAGCAAATGCAAATGAAATACAAAGTCTGCGCGTCATATCAGACTGTTCATTACCTTCAATCTCACTACTGACTGCTGTCTGTCTGCCCTCTTACCGCCGAAGCACGCAGTCCTCTGCCACAATATGTCATCTCTGCACCGTTGTCCTCTCACTGCAGTACCTATCTACGCACTCAGAGTGGACCTCCGCTCCGCACTCCGAGCGGAGCCCGATCAAACGTCCCGCCCGCTCCACCGTTCGCTGCGGTGGCGAACAGCGGGCTCCGGCGGCGATCACAGACGGCCTGTTCGCCGCCGCGCCGTCGGCTCCTGTTTACAAGAGCAGGTGTCGACCAATCGGCTGACATCAGACGGCTGACGCGGCGGCAGCGTCTGCAGCGGCAGAGGAGATCCGTGCAGACTGCACTGTTCTCGATTCCGATTTGACATCAAGTATAGAGCAATTGCCGGTGAACCGTCATTGTATGCAAAAGAGCTGTAAATTTACTGCAGTAGCTATTCACTACTCACCGTTCTCTGCTCACTGAGTGTTCAGTCCTCCAGTTTTTTCTATCAGTAAACTTTATCATCTCATGCCAATGAAATACGGAATGACATTAAAAACTGTTTGTACGTTGTTCGGCCAACATCTCCCCAGATGCATCAGCAATACTACGGGGAGTCTGGCTGGGTTATAACCAGGATCTCAACATTACCGATTCAGTCGGTATCTACACGGTGCAGTCCGCATAGGTAATAGGCTATCGGAACATCGACTGGTCCGCCGGCCGACGCTGCACTCTGATTTATGAAATATGAGTTACGTTGCATAATTGGTCCACTTACACCGGGCCCTTGCACCGGGCTATTGTCATTTGTGTCTGGATCGACGCGATTGTCGACTAATGGATCGTGGGGCGCCACCTTTTTAATCAAGTCGCACGCGCGTTCGATAGTATCGGCGTGCAGTGGTGAGAAATCAGACACGTGGGAAGCGTGGGAATTATGTAGCAGAACATCATACACATAGCTGCTTTTAAGACGACCTTATTTAGAGTCGGCAGTTTCAGTGAAAGCCTGGCACCGATGACATTATTGCTCGCTTGTATGCATTTTATGGATTCCTGATGCATGTATAATGTACCTTGGTACATATGTAGGCATCTGAAGAACGATGGTTCTACGACAGTTTATGTAAAAGTAGGGTACATCCAAACCGGTCGTCATGCTTGCGGCTGTTTTCAAGTGTCATGCTTGGATACTCCAAATAAGGCTCACGATAAGCTGGTGGGCCCTAGAAAGTCTGGCTGTTGACCTGCGCTCGAATTGACCAGAAATGTTTCCCCACTGGATTGCCATTTGCTGATTTTTCTTCTAGGAGTGAAAGGCTGAATGCACTCTACTAACCAATTATGTATGCATGTATGAATGACTTCTTTCTTAGATGTAGTAGAACAGTCATCCGCTGCTTTCAGCAATGACTACTTTGGCTCTCTTTATTTATTAACCGGTTCCCGCACTTCTTTTGCTTACTTTGTTTTTTTTCAATTTTCCTAGCTGGGAGTGCCGCGACTTATCCTTTTTTTATTTTTGTCTGGTGTTAACGTAAGGTGCTGTGAGTCGCTGGGCTGAGGGTGGGGGCACTCCTGGTCACCTAATAATGGGTGGCGGAGTAGTTCGGAAAAAAAAAAATAATATATGCCGGCTTGCTGAGACGGCACCGGGTCCAATGTTATTTATAGTTGCGTCATTGTGCACTTGGTAATGCTGAAAAACGATGCGTCAAATCCGCATTCATCACACGACCGCCAGAAGACCCCATTTACATGTTACCGACGACAGCGGAACTCAAACATCATGCATCCTTGATGCTACAGCCTAGAAATTCACCATTCTCGGCTTTACATCGAAAGTGGATTTTTATCAGATTCAGTTTTTATATTAAGTTTAACTAAGACATACCTAGGAAATGAAGGTGAGTGGATGTTGGATATCAAAAGTAACTCGTCTTTAACGAACAGCCATTTTTTTGTTATAGGTCAAAATAAGCCAAATATCAGGAAGCCATTATTTTAAGGTCAAAATGAGTCAAATATCAGAGCTTCATTCAACAGCATTTTCACATAGCGGGTTATATAACATTACTGAGCAGTTAATGACACAATGAACATTTTAACTATACCAACATGCTTTCCCACAGTACCTACTGAGGAACCACAGTAATACAATTTCAATAGTCCATCTGTTATGTTAGTGCGCTATACTTATTTCCTATTCATTAGTGGTAAGTATATGAACAAACATTGCATTAATTGCATACAGTCCGCTCAGCCTAA